CGGATCTCCTAGAGGCGAGATCTATACCTCATATATCCAATGCCACTGGCCCGGCTCATGGAGCGGTGTCTATGTATATGGTATACTGTGTATGCCTCCCTGGCCAAGCCATGGGGGCGTGTACACCGCTCCTCGTCCCCAGGACGTGCCTGGCCAGGGGCAGCGGGACGTGTAGATCTGGTCGCGCGTCGGCAGGGGCTCGTTTACAGCGAATCGCTCCAGAGCCAGGCGGCGGAGGCGGCGGCCCGCGGTGTCCCAGAGCAGGCGCGGGCGCCGCGGCGCGCGGCCGCGGCGGCGGGGCCCCTGAACCTTCTCCACTCTCGCGGGCCTGCGTTCGTTGCCACCAGAGGTTTCCCTTCCTGGGGAGACCTTCCAGCCGTTCTGGGCTTCTCAGATGGAGGCCGAGTAGATGGGGTCGGAGGATCGCGCCGCATCGCCGATGCATCGACGCTGTGGCTCGATGTGGAGCCCGTGTTTCCTCACGCCGATGTCGCCGATGCATCGCCGATACATCGGCGATGCATTGGCGATGCGGCGCGGTCCTTCCACCCTATCTACTCGGACCCCATCTAGGAGGCATCTAGCAGCGGCGCCTCGCCGAAGGCGTTTGGGTGATGCCCAGGTCGTCCAGAACGACCGCCGGAGACGGGGTCGCAGAGTATGCTCAAAGTGGGTGGCTTTCTGTTAGTGCACCACATCTGATCTGGGCAACGCCAAGGGAGGCCGCTCCCCAGCCCCTGAACCGCCTGGAAACAGCTCAGGGTGAAATGTGGCTGTGCAAGGAAAAGGTCGGGATCCTTGGGGGGGGCGTCGTGAAAACGTTAAGTCGGAGCCTCCTCCACATGTCTGGAGAAGGCGGCTCGCGCGGAACATCTCTTGCATGTTGTCCTTTTCTCATGGACTTGCCTCTTCGCATGCAGACCACCGTCCTAGCCCTAGCCCTTCTCCGACATTCCTCGATGCAAAGGAAGTTAGCTATGCGCTTCTGGGCCGCAGGGCATATGGGAGGCTCACGTCGTCGCGGCTGGGTCACCCTTGGAATTTCTGGCCAAACGCAGCCCAGGATAAGCCAAAGAGCCTCTTTTCGACGATCCAGAACTCTCGTCGTCGACAAAGACCTGACGGGATGTCTTCAGTATGCTTTCTGCCTCTAGGGTGCCTCGCCGGGCCCCGCGGGCCCTCATAGAACGACTCGGGATGCGAACACAGCCCCGGGGAAAGGGTCACCGAAATTGAAAGTGGGACGGAAAGAATGAGGACGAGGACTGACACCAGTTTCTGTCTATGTCGCCGCAAAGCTTGTCCATTCAAGACACGTGTCGCAGTCCCAACATTGGCCGCTGTCGGTTTTGGTCAGCACGTCTTGTTGGGCATCGCCCCGACTTGTTCCTCCAGTTCCTGGAGCGGCCCCCGGTGCCCCGACGCCTCCCCCAGGGGTAGCGTGCCGTGCTGGATCCGGATTTGGGTGGTCCCGGGGGTCCGCTGGCAGGCCCCAGGGGCCCCGACCGAGGAACAACGCCCAGACTGCAGACATCAAAGACGGGCTTGGGCGTGCCAGTTTCGGGGGCCCCGTGTCGAGAGGATCAGGGCATCGAATGTCTGGAGCGGCCGCGGCCGCGGCCGACAGTGGCCCGCAGCGGAGGCACAGCCGCGGCGCCCACGGCGCCTTCGCTGCGGAGGTATATTGGGCGTCTCTGTGGGGGCCTCTCGACGCCGCGGCCGGACTCAGCCCGAAGAGCTGGTCGGGACGGGCTCCTGGGCCTCTTAGGGGCCTCCTCTCCCTCCTCCTCCGCAGCCTCTTTCTCTCCTCCACGACGAAGATCTCATCCCCCTCCCTCCTCCCTCCCTCCTCCTGAGGCTCTTAAGAGGTTCTGCGCTGATGTTTGGACGACGGACGATAACGGCGACGACGGCGGCGGTGGCGACGACGACGGCGGCGGTGACGGCGGCGACCTGCGAGAGCGGCGGCAACTGCGACGACGACGACGAAGACGACGACGGCGGCGACGACGACGACGGCGACGGAGGCGGTCGCTCACCGCCCAGAGCTGCCGCCGGGGCCCGCGGCCGCAGACGCGGCGCCGGCGCCAGCGGCCGCCTCGCGGCCGCCGCCCGCGCCGGCCGCTGAGGTTGCGGCGGCGGCTGCGCCAGCGGCTCCAAGCCAGCTGCGCGTGCGCGTGGAAGGCTGCCGGGACCTGCCGGCGCGGGCGCGAACCGGGGGCCTCAGGCTCGCAGGGAGCAACGTGCCCGCCCTTTTTCCGGTCGCAATCCTTTTCTGTGTTTCCGGGCGTTGGCCGACATGCCAAGCTTTACATCTACTCTGGATGGGACAATCATCGCTTCGCTCCCCTTGAATCTGCTGGGGGCGTTGGGCACGTGCCGTCAGAACGGGTGGAGGGAGGGTTCTGGGAGGATGATGATGATGATGATGATGATGATGATGATGATGATGATGATGATGATGATGATGATGATGATGATGATGATGATGATGATGATGATGATGATGATGATTGATGATGATGATGATGAGGAGGAGGAGGAGGAGGAGGAGGAGGAGGAGAAGGAGGAGGAGGAGGAAGGAAGGCGGCACTGGGCAAGCTCAATCGGCAAGTTGATCACCCCCTTTCGATAATACCCGATCCATAGTACATGTATAGATGTATACTCTATCGAATGAACTCGCATGTGGGGTTGCCGCGGTTGGCGTGTCGAGGGGGCGTGCTGGCCTTCTCCATATGTGGGGCCCTAGAACGGGCCCCAGAAACCCTTGTGTTCCGCGCCCACGCCCCTTCGAGCAGCGCCGCCGCCGGTGGGAATTGATGCCCGCGAACACATACATACATACATACATACATACATACATACATACATACATACGTGCGTACGTACGCACATACGTACATACGTACATACATACATACATACATACATACATACACATGTATACACATAAACATATCCATGTGCATATTTTGCATGTATGCACATTTACACTAACATGAGCATACACACTTACACATACATGTACGAACACATTCATATATATATATATATGTTTATATACATACGCCCAAATATAGACTGCGTGTACATGTGTACATGCATCAACATATGTAGTAATTGCAGGTACGTTCATACATCTATGCATGAATACATACTGCCGCGCCTTTTGTTCCGACGCGCGGCCTTGAGTCTTTTGGAGGGCGCAGCGGCCACCAGGGAAGATTCCGCCTTCGGCGCGGCGGGTGTCCTCTGGGCTTGCTGCGGTGCCAGCTTCGTGTACTGGGGCGCGGGGCGCAGGGCTTGCCGTGGGTTTGCCGTGGTGTTGGCGTCGTCCACTTGGGCGCGTCAGGAACACACGGCTCGACGACACATATACCTAGATCTATACGAGTTTGGGTGGCGCGTGCTGGATTGTGCGAGGTCGTCAGTTAACGCAGCAGTTCCCTTGAAGCTTGTTGTAACGCTGTTGCCTCACTGGAAGCGCCGAGTGCACTGATGCGGGGGCCGAGGTGTTCGAGCTTCGCGAAAGCAAGAAGTTCCACAGTCCAAACCCGACAAGCGTTGGAAGATTCGCGCCAGGATGTCAGCGGTTCCGGGCGCGGGTCGGAGCAAACGCGGCGCCGTCTCGTGCCGCGTCGGAGGCGTCGGAACGACGTCGCGGCAAAGTAAGGATCGCAGCGGGGTAACGGATTTCGGACGTCCAAATCGTGAAGTTTCGAACCGAGATGTGTTGCACATGTTGCAAAGCATCGCCTTTCTAACTCGCCGCCGATCATGCCTGAGCCCGTTGGCCGCAACCCCATGGCGTTGTCCCCCGCGAGTGCTTCGCGCGGGACGTACCCGTGCGACCGCGTATCTACGGGATCGCGCCCTGGAATCCAAGCCGCGCAGGCGTGGATGTGTGGACGTGTTCGCCGCGCGGGATACACATCAACCACCAGGGATGGTACTTTCGATTGAAGGGGTGGGGTGGGGGGCAGGGGCGGCAGGAGCGAGGGGGGCGGCACTCCGGCCGACCCCCCCCCGCCGCCTGGACGACGCGGGGCCATCGCATGTGTTTTGTGATGACTGTTTCTGTGGGCCAAGGCTCCTGCAGGTCGGTGGAATCCCCACCCTGCCAATTTGATTGGCGAGTTACCGTTGTGTCAGTTCTCGACGGAGGTGTTGCGCGCAGCTGCCTCCCAGATTCAGAGACTAATGTCAAGGTACCCCCAGAAGGCCCGACCCTTTCCGCAGGGCCGCCCTTTCATTCTTTGAGTAATTGTTTGTTGCGGCCCCACGGCCCGAACACGGCTTCCCAGTGTAGAGCATGTGACATATTTTGTTAAGCCTGGGCGAACGCCCCCCCACCCCCGCGCCGCCCCAGAAGCCGCGACGGCCACTCTGGCGAAGGGTCGGTCCTTGCGACACGGTGCCGTCTCACCAATCAGGGCGGGCGCCTCTGATCCAAGGTGTCGCGCCCATCGGGCCCTCACGGATCCCACGCCACCCGGATTGTCGGAGGATTCGGAAGGCCCCCTCTGGCCTTTCGGAGGGCACCCTGGGCCTTCTACGCGGGGTTTCTGTCACTGGTCGCGTCGCACGCAGCGGTCGGCGAGAGACGCGCGCCGCCACGCGGGCCCAGGCCTGCTCCTTGCGTGTGGTCACTACGGGTGGATGACGGCGTGCCTCTCCAAATTGGGATCGCGGTGCCTTCGCTTGCGGCCGCCGGGACTGCCCGCACGTTCTTCCGTACGCCGGGCGTCGGGGTGCCTGGAAGCCGCCCGCGCACTCCTCGTGGCGTGGACCCTCTGCGCCTGAGGCCCGCGCGCGGATCCACAGGAGGAGGAGGAGGAGGAGGAGGAGGAGGAGGAGGAGGAGGAAACCCCCGCGCGCTCCTCCCTCTTGCCTCTGTGTGCCCCGGCCGCGCGCGGCCTGCTGGCGTTCGACTTCGTCGGCGCCGGCGCTGCTGGCCGGGAGGAGGCCGAGGAAGGGCTTTGGCGGCATCCTGCCAGGGCGGCGTGCTGCGCTCTCCGCGACCGGGGCGAGGACCCCGGGCCTCCGCTCCGACGCCTCCGTCTGCTCAGTGAGCCTCAGAGGAGGAAAAGGTACCCATACCTCTACCCTCCCCTCGTTTTCCTCTTTTTGGGCCTCCTGGGCCTCCGTCGTCGTCACCGCTGGATTCGCCTCGAAATCCTGGTCAGAACGCGCCCCAGGAGAGGTCCGGGGAGTAGCGGCATCAGTACCTGTCGGTTTCCCCAGAGCCGCCCCCCCCCCCCCCCCCTCGGAGCTCTCGGGTCCTGACTAGCGAGGGGGGGATTTCGGGAAGGGGGGGGGTGACCGCAAGGGCCGGGTCAGGGCGCCGCATCGGTTCGTATAACGGCCGAGTTTGCCTTATCTTGGGCCCCGGGGACCCTCACAGATCGATGCGGTTCGGGGAGTGCAGCAGGAAGATCTTGGGTTCAGGGCTGTGGTAAGTTCGTTCGACGATGTTTTTTGTTTCTGTGACGTCGGATCTCAGGGTCGGCACGTCAAGTAAGACATCGGCCTGGCAGCAGGGGCCCCACGGAGCTTCCTTACTCCCCGATCGCCCAAGGGACCCACAGAACTTCTGTGGCACCCCAGGGCCCCCAAAGTTGCTTGCAGCAAGATTTCTCATCGTATGTGTCCACTGCGCGAATACTGCTGCGCAAAGCTGGTTTTGGGCTCCGCCGACGGGGGCAGTCCCTGGCGCCTTTGGCGCCGAGATGCGGCTGGAAAGCCAGCTTGGTTCGGTCACTGCGCCACCGTTGCTTCCACCCCTTTCGCCTGACCCGGAGCTCTCGACCCATTCCCTTTGGGCCCTTCCTTCATCACAGATCGCTCTGTGGTGGCCTTGGGTCGTCACGGTCGAACTGTGGAGACGACCGACAGCCGTCCCTGCATAGGAACCGTTGTTGGTGTCGCCGCCGACGTTGCCCACTTAGGACAAAAAGTCTTCTGTACAACAGTGGCGTTGCCGATTTGGGGCACCATTTGCTGTTGAGCGTCGTCCTTACTTTTCCGTCCCCGCTCCGGGCTTGCCAATGTTCAATCCGCCGACCCGTGGAGCTCTCGAGCGGCGTGCCAATGTTCAATCCGCCGACCCGTGGAGCTCTCGAGCCCCGGTCATTCATGCCAGACCGCTCTTTAATTCGCCAGGCGGCCAACGGGTCTTGGAGCAAGGGTCTGCCAATCTTTTCGGACTCTCGGGGGGACCCCCGAGGGCCGTCAGGAAACCACTCAGGACGAAGAGCACGGTAGCATGGTCATGTCCAGATTTCCGAGGGCCCCGTGCTGACACCATCAAGACGTCGGATGCATCTAGGCCTGCAGCTCTCGATCCAGGCCCCTTTGGCCCGTCCCTCGTCCGGGATGTTCTTTGTTGAATGGCCCCGCGGGCCCCGTGACCCTGGCGTCGCACCTTTGTGTTTGTTCTGGGCGACGTCGCCCTTCTCTTGCGAGCCCCGTGGCCCTCGCGGATGTCGATGCGTCTCGAGGGGTGCCGCAGAGGGTCCCCGTTGCCGCGGGACGATGGGGAGTCGAGGGCCCCAGCTGTGAAGTTACCGTGTTGCGGTTTTTGGCCATTCCTGAGCTGTTGTGTCGCTGGCGGAACAAGAAACAGCCTTATCCACTGAGGGCTGCGGTGATATCCATGGCTGGTCCACGATTGGAGTTCCCCTGGTTTCCAGACCCTGGATTCCTTATCGAAGGGTTCCTTATCCAATGCCCTCACCGTAGTCTCGGAGATCCGCGCGGACTTCTTGGATCTGCCCTCTGCCATCTGGCGGCGCCTCTGGCGCCGCACTTGCCGCGGTCCGCGCGCTAAGAAGGGGGTCCAGCGCCGATCCGAGAACTCCGCCCAGGCCTCCAGCAGTTTATACTCATGCGGTGTTTTAATGCCTCTAGTCGTGTCGTCAGTGCGCTGCATCACTCGGGGGGGATCTTCCATGCGCTCAAGGCTTTTTGTGTTTTATCCGACGCGAGTTTTCGATGAGGATCCGGCGTGGGTTCGGCCTGGATTCGATGCGGATCCGACGTAGATTCGGCGCGAATGTCCGACGCGATGGGACAGGCAATGCCTCCTCCCTTGAGATACAACGTGACCAGAATAATCGATGTGGTGGAAAATCGCGTGAACCGAGCGACAATTCGACGTTTCAGAGGTCCGACGACCCACGCCTCCGATGTCACACTGTTTTCGCAACGTGAGTTCCCAGAGGTCTCGAATTCATGGACCTTTGCTCGGGGAGCGTGAGCTGACCTCCTCACCGACACTGACCAGGCCCATCCTGGGTCCAACATCGGCATCTACGACGTCCTGGCACGGCCAGGGAATAGGCCAGCTGGCGTCACCCCGAGTGCGACCGAAAGCGGCAGCAGAAACCTCGAGTCGCGCTTTTGTCGAAACGCGATTGGCGTCGGAGGTCCCCAGACGCGTCCATGTGCTTTGTTCAATGCGTTGACCCAGAGGTCTCGACCGTCTCGACTCCTTCCTCCTCCTCGTCCTCCTCCTCCTCCCCATGTCCTCCTCCCCCACCCCCGCAAGGCAGTCCAGACCGTCACGGCTCCCGCTTATTGACACTAGAGCACGGCCCCTCAATCTAGGCCCGAGTATATGACGGCATCGGGGTTTCACGCAGGAGCGTGTGTTTGGCGCCATACGGGTTTCACGCACGAGCGGCTGTGTGACGGCATCTGGATTGTGCCGCGAAGACAACGCGTCTCGACCCCTTCCCCATAGTGAGGTTTTCTTTGCGCGAGCCCTATGTCTGATGGCCCCAGCTCCGAGGACAGTTCCCAGGGGCCGAGGGGAAGGACAAACGCCCGGGTTGAGCTCTGGGCCTGGCGATGTTTTTGTTCTCGCTGCGGAGTCCCTGGAGCTTTCCGGCTCTCGGCACGTGGCCAGCGCGCTAATTGCGGTCGCCGGAGTAGTTCTGCTCTGTGGACGGCCACTGGGCCCCCCCGAGGGCCCGCCCGAGGCCGAACATGCAGGAGAAACCTCCGTCCTTCCTTTTTCATCGGGGGTGGACAGACCTCCTACCCTGACACGTCGATTGAGGAATTGGCCGTTTTCGGTTCGCGAGAGGGCGTCGCGGCCGTCCTTTTTGCGGGTCCAGGTCCGTCGGTTTCGGTCCCGGGCCGTTTTTACTAAGGGGAGGTCTACTGAAGGGAGGTTTGTCAACCGCCGATTTCAAGACGTTGGGTGTCTGGGTCATTAGTCACTGACGCCGACCTTGGCCAGGTCGATCCTGGTCGCGAGGACGTGCGAGGTCATTCGGAGGAGTGCCGGTGGAGATCACGGCGGCCCTACCTTTCGCTGTTCGTGCTGCTTTCGTGGTGGTCTGCTGATTGCGTGTTGTGTTTCGCCTTTTTTTTCCCATTCTTTAATGAAAGAAAGCAATTTCGCCTCTTGGCTTCTGTCAAGGCGCTGGATGCCTGGGCCTGGCGAGGAGTTGAGCGTGCACGGTAAGCTGCTGCATTCGTCGCTGTTTTTTTCTTCGTCGTCGTGGTCGTCGTCGTCGTCGTCGCCGTCCGCCCTGATGTTTGCCAAGACGTTGGATTCGAAAAAGCAGCAACGGCATAGCCTGAGCTTTTGACGATCCGAGCGGATTTCTGGGATTTGCGCTGGACCCCCTTCCCTGACGCGCGGAGCGCGCCAGGGGCTGCGCCGGAGGCGCCGCCAGGAGGGTCCAGCGCAGATCCGCGCCATCTGCGCGGACCGTCCAGCATCTATGGCTGCACCGTTCTGTCTTCCTCCACGGATGCCTGGGCACGGCCAGGAGGTGACGGTGCACGTCTCGGAGGTGGACGGCTCCGGACGCGGCGGCAGCAGCGGCTCGCGCTCCCCCGCTACGGTGGGCAGGAGCGACGCGCTGCTGCCCGCCACGTACATCTTCACCGGCGGCCGCCGCGCGAGCGGGGGGTCAACGCCGCCGCCGCCGTCGCCGTCATCGTCGCCGTCGCCGTCGTCGTCGCTGTTGTCGTCGCCGTCGTCGTCGGCGGCGTCGACGTCGCCGCCGCCGTCGGCGTCGTTGCCGTCGCCGCCGCCGTCGCCGCCGCCGTCGCCGCCGTCGCCGCCGTCGTCGCCGTCGCCGTCGCCGTCGCCGTCGTCGTCGCTATTGTCGTCGCCGTCGTCGTCGGCGGCGTCGCCGTCGCCGCCGTCGCCGGCGTCGTCGCCGTCGGCGTCGCCGTCGTCGCCGTCGTCGTCGCCTTCTCCGCAGATCCAGGCGACGCAGAAGGGCGTGGCGACAGCTTCTGTGATTGCTTCCGCCCCACTCATGGAGGCCGCATCCCGGCCGTGGGGCCGTCCAAAGATTGCAGCCCAGGATGAAAAGAAGCGGCCCTTGGGGGAAGGGGTCGGCATCCCCGGGGGAGCCGTGTCACGAGCAAGCCGTGGCATCGGAGGGGAGGGTCCCATGCCGTCGTACTGGTCGTCGTCCTCGGCCCGTCTCGTCACGCCAACCCTCCTCCCTCAATCCCGCGTCGCCGTCGGTGCTCTGGGGCGGGAGTTTGTATATCAATGTCCAGCGACTGGGGAGCCGGTGTCCCAGAGCAGCGGATGTGTAGGTCTTTGGGCCCTAACCGCATCCACTGCCTCCACGGAGCCCTGGTTCCTCATCCTCCTTTCCTCTCCTCCTCCTCCTCCTCCTCCTCCTCCTCCTCCTCCTCCTCCTCCTCTGCCTCCTCCTCTTTCTCCGCCTCCTCCTCTTCCTCTTCCTCATCCTTCTCCGCCTTTCCCTCTCCCATTCCATCCCCCCTCCTCTGTTTCCTCTGTTTTTCCCTCCCACTCTTCTGGCCCTCCCACCTCCTCGCCATCTCACCTTTCATCGTGCTCGTCGCTGTAGCGGGCAGCAGCGACAAGGTATGAATCGCGATGGACGCGCGCGTCCACCCTGCAATCGAGGGCGGTGCCGCCAGGAAGCTGGGCTTTTTATATTTCAAAGAATATAAGCTGCATAAACAGAAACTGTCGGAGGTCCACGTGGCTTTCTTGTCTCGGCGCTGGACCTCCCTATGACGGCGCATCCGTCGCCGCCCCTGTGGCGCGCTCCACGCGCTTGGGAGGGGGGGTCGCGCAGCGAAGATCCAAGAAATCCGCGCAGGCTTCCGAAATGTTATGTTTATGCCTTTTTGCTTGTTCTTCTAATGACGGCGTCTAGACACCCCAGAGCCACGAATCACCTCAAGCTCTCCCCCCCTTTCGCCCCGAGAGGTCCGGGGAGGTGCTCTTCGGCCGCGGCCGCTTCGCTCAGGCAGGCTTGGGCTGAGGACAATCGCTCCAGAGCGTTCCAGAACACACTCAGAGCGTTCTGGAACGCTCGCGTTTGCTAGGATGAAACTCTCGGGAGGTTAAAGTGAATCGGCGCTAAGACTAGCCCAATTTGGCTCAATCCTGCTTCATCCAGCTTCATTCTTCTTCGTCTGGCTTAAGCCTGTCCTGGCCGAGTCCTTGGATTAGTCCGTCCTCATCGCCTTTGGTCGTTCTGGCGAAGACCTCCCAGGAGCTGCATCCTGAGGCCCGGCCGCGGCGACCAGAACATCATCCAGACCCGCCGGCTCTCTCAGAGATCCCCGATGAGCCCCACGCCGAGTGTGCGGTCAGGAGTTTGGGCTCCGTGTGTCGCTCCGCCGGCTCTGGCCTACCACGCTCCGGCGCGACACGGCGACCAGTCACTGGTCCCCGCGCGTCCGCGTCCCGAGCTCTTCCCGGCCTCCCTCCGGAGCGACACGCCTCCCACTCGCCACTCGCCCTGCCGTCGTCCCACCCGCGCAGGCGTCGCTGCAGCGGGGCTGGCGCGTGCGCTTCGAGGTGTTCTGCGGCCCTGCCAACGGCGCGGCGGCAGAGCCCGTCGCCTTCGCGGAAGCCCGCGCGGACGACTTGGCGCGGCGGCCGAGGCGCGCGGAGCGGGCGGGCCTCGTCGTCGCCGTCGCCGCCGCCGCTCTCGCCGTCAGCGACCGGGCTCCTCTGGGCTTCGGCCTGCCCGGAGACACTGGCATGGCAGGCATTCTTCGCAGCCCGCTGCCTCGGCTGGCCCGCTCCGGCCTGCTCTACGCGGAATTCTTCCACGTCGATGCGCTTTCCCCTCTCCCTGCCTCCGCGCGGCCGCCCCCGTCTTTTTCCTCCCTCCTGCACGCCAGCCAATTCGCCTTTCGGTTGCCCAGAATAGCCACACGCTGGAGCGGACTGCCTCTGCATCGCCGCCGTCGAACAAATTCTTCGCAACGGTCGGTTCTGCCGTGTTTCGGGCCCCGTGGCCCTCAAGAGTCGATCCTGCTCGACAGATGCAGCAGAACGATGGGGTCCAGAGTTCTGGTCGACTGGCCTGACGATGTCTCACTTGTTCCGGGACGTCGGATCTCATGTTGCGAAGGGCCCCGGGGGCCCTGACGCCTTCCCGTTGCGAACAGATACGCGACGGACGGTTTCTGCATATGTTCGGCTTCCAGGGGCCCGCAGCGGGCCACGGAGCCCGGAATCGCCAACAAACGACCCAGGAGGAAAAGTCTGTCCCGGGGCAGGGGTCCAGACCTCTGGGAGCCCACGCCTGGCTCCGCCAAGGGCAGCCGAAAATGGTGTCTAAGCAGATGTGGGTCGATGGATCGTGCCACATCGCCGGTACACCAGCAATGCGGCTCGTTGTGGAGCCCGATGTTCCTCTAATGGCGTCGGCGATCCATCGCCGACGTTGTGGATGCATCGCCGACTCATCGGCGATGCGGCGCGATCCACCGACCCCGTCTACCTCGACCCCATTTTGGGCGACCGCCTTTCCAGGACCCGCTCTTCCCGCATGCTGGCCAACCTGACCCCATTATGCCTCGGCATATTAGTAAGAGGCCGTCATGCCAGCAGGTGCCCCACGGACATGTCTTATTTCCCGACACCCCCAGGGACCAGCAGAATCTCTCAGGACTCGTTTGGATTCCTCTGGTGCGATTCGATTCGACTTCGATGGTTTCCGATTCTGATCCGATTCGGCTTGGGATTCCGATTTGGGCTCCGACTTCTCATTGGAGGACCAGCCTGCCGATTCTAGCCAATCTGACTTTTCCCGACTCGTCTGCCGATTTCCGCCGATCCGATTCATTTCGACCGCCGACCCGACTTATCGATTCGATTCTGGACTCGCTTAAGCTATGGAGCATCTTACGCCAGACCCTCGAACAGCGACGAAGAACACGTCCCACGCTCTCTGTCAACGGCACGTCGTGCCTTGTGTGACTACCGTGCCCCGAGAAGCCCCGTGCCGCCTTCCAGAGTTTTCTGGTCTTCTGGCCAGTTGTCCCTGGTGCACCCCCCCCTGGGCGCAGAGCTGCCCCGCCCTCGCCCACGGAGGCGGGTGTTTCCCCCCCCCCCCCCTCCCCCCTTTCCTCTGGCTCGTCCCTTCTTCCTCCTTCCCCTCCCCCTCCTCTCTCCCCACTCCCCCTCCTCCCTCCCCCCCCCCCCCTTCGTGCTCCTGCTCCTGCTCCTCCTCCTCCTCGGCCTCCGTCTCCGCCTCACGCTCCGCGTCCTCCCCTGTGCCCTGACTCCTCCCCGCCCCGAGGAGAGGAGAGGAGGCGACCTGCGGGGAGGAGATGGAGGGGCAAGAGCGAGGAGGGGGAAGAGGAGGAGAGCCCATGTTCTCACGCACACACACACACACACTCATTTCTATATGTATATAGATGTGTATATATATATATATACCGAGACAACAACTACAAGATTGCATTGGCGTTTCGCGCCATCCACTTTGGCCATTCAGGATCGGCGCGCGGGCGGCAGGAGGGTCGCGGGAGAGAGAACGAGAGAGAGAGAGAGAGCGCGAGAGAGAGAGGGAGACAGAGAGAGAGAGGGAAGGAGAGAGAAAGAGAGAGAAAGAGAGAGCGAGAGAGAGAGAGAGAGCGACAGAGAGAGAGATCGAAGACCTAAAAGGACGATTATTCCTTGTTGCCGTTAGCCCCATCGTTGGCACACATGTGTTATATACCAGTTGCCCCTCATGTTTCTTCTTGAGTTTTCTCGTCTGCGAACGCGTCCATGGTACCATTTTCAGATGTTATTGCGTGACCTCCTCCTTGAAGGGCTTTACGGGAATGTCGCGAGACATTTTGAGGGCTTCTGGTGGCCTTTGAGTTCATGTTGTTTTATACTGGTCTGTTGACCCTTCAGCGCTTCCCTGGGCGCAGTCCTGAAACCCGCCTTCCAGCGTATGCCTTGCAAGGCGCGAAAAGTCTAGCTGTCCGAGGACAACCACATAGGCACGGCAACTTGCAAATGAAGAACGAATTCTCATCCTCCGATTGAAGATTCAGGCACCACCGCTTGCGGGTTAATCAATTCAAACATCATGCACACGTGAATATGTGCATTACACAGATTCAAAGCCATCCGTGTGAGAGGACATCCGTACACAGCCCCATTTGAAGCACTGGTCATAACGAATGCATCGGGATCCGATTGATAGGTCTGAAACGGCCGACTCCCTGGAGTCCCAGCTCCTGGAGCAGTCATGAGCACAGAAGGGGGAAACACGAACGGAGTGGGAGGCGAGTCCCTGCTATTGGGCGCTTTCGGATTTTCTTAAAAAACCCTTTCGGACCGTCGTGAGGCCCTTTTGGACAGTTTTGGGGCCCCTTTTGGACAGTTTTGGGGCCCCTGTGGGCTGTCTCGCGGAGCTCTCTCTGGCCGTCGTGGGGCTCTGCTGGGGGCCTCTTGGGGCTTTCTTGGGAGTCTCTTGGGGCCGTCTTGGGCCGTCTCGGGGCCATCTTGAGCCGTCGTGGAGCTCTCTGGGGCTGTCTTGGGGCCCTCTTGGGGCCTTTGTGGGGGCCTCAGGATCTGTTTTGGGGTGATCAGTGGGCCTCGTGAACCGTTACGGAGCACTGAAAAACAAAAAGCGAGTACGCCTAAGGATGTACGTTTCATTCAAGGGGTGGAGCGATGTTGGTTTGTTTGGCGTTCTCTTGGGGCTCTTCGGGGCGTCTTGGGGCGGCCTCCTGTACCGTCTTGGAGCTAGTTAGGGGCCTTATTGGGCGTTTTGGAAATCTCTTGAACTGTCGTGGGGCCGTTTGAGGCCGTCTTGCAGCGCTCTTGGGCCGTCTTGGTACCGTATTGGACCTCTTTGGGGGCCGCATTGGGCGCTTAGGGTGGTCGAAATTCGCTCGGTGGGAGGGAGGGGTTGGGGTCCCAGGCCTTGTACAAATACAAAAGTAGGAATCTGTATGGATAGGATCGGCGGAGGAAGAGGAGGAGGAGGAGGAGGAGGAGGAGGAGGAGGAGGAGGATGCAAGCCTCCCTCTCCCTCCTCCGCTGCGAGCCCTGCCCAGGTGGCAGCTGCTCCTGCAGGACCCGCACACCTGCAACCCCGTATACGGCTCGCCGCCGCGGGGGCGTCTCTGCATCGAAGAAGAGAAGCCGCCATACACATAGTTGTGGGCAGGAGCTTTTGCTCCGCGTGTCGCGCAGCCGGCTCTGGCTCACCACGCTTCGGCGCGACACGTGAACACCTTCCCCGTGCCCAAGCGTCCACGTCCCGAGCTGTTCCAGGCCTCCCTCCCGGCGAAGCGGAGCGACTCGCTATCCTTGTGTGGGGCTTCGCGTGTCGCAGGGTCTCCCGCCGCAACATGCTAAGCAAAAGTTTAACTTTGAGAAGCCCGTGCGGTTTTCTTCGGTCGGCGCTGGGCATCCGTTGGCGGCGCCTCGGGCGCCGCCCCTGGCGCGCCGCGTGCGCCAGGCAGAGGGGGCCAGCGCCGGTCCAGGTATCCGCGCGGGCCTCTGAGAGTTTATGTTTGCGCAGCGTTTCTTCTTCTAGCTTCCCCGCGGGGGGTGTACAGCTGTGGCACCGCTCAAGCTACACGACCATCTTCTGTTAGGAAACTCCATATCGTCAAACTGGATCGCACATTTCGATACCGAAATATTAAACAACTGGCCCAGTTTCTGAACGCTGATCGTTATTATGATTGTTATGTTTGTTGCTCATATGAATTTAGATGTTCCTTATCAGCGCTCTACCTTCGTTCTCTGTACGTTCAGGAACACGTTTTGCGCCAAGTCTGAACAACGCCAGTCGCGTGCCCGTCCATTTTCGCAACTGAACGCCGCCGAACGAGGCGGCACTGGCCGCATTTTGCGGAGGGCACCTCCCGCGGATTTGCCGACGGCGCGCTAGATCCATGGATCGCTACTTTCGGATGCAACTCCTGGGAGGTACAATTCAGATTTTCCCCCGGTCCCAAATGCGGCTCAATCTGGCTTAATCCCGCTTAATCCGATTTAATCCCGCTTAATCCCGCTTAACCCGGCTGAATCCCGTTTAATCCGAGGCCCACTCCGGCGTAACAGCCACCCAGTGGGGCTTAACGTTCCTAAAATCCTCTTCCTTAGTGCTCTTTAACCCAGTAGCTGCCTCCTGAGCCAATCCATGTTAATCCTCCAGTAGCTGCCTCCAGTAGCTGCCTCCTTCTTTAATCCAGTAGCTGCCTCCTGCTCAATCTTCCTTAATCCTCCTCATTAGTCTTCTTTCATCCAGTAGCTGCCTCCCGAGCCAATCCGTGTTCCTGCGCCCCCGAGCCCGGGGGGGCCCTCGGCCCCCCGCCCCCCCGCGCCGGCGCCGCCGCCGCTCTGCCCCCCCCGCGGCCCCCTCGTCTGCGGCTGCGGCTCCCGGCGCCGGTCGAAGAAGGGCCGCGCCTGGGGCAGCGGCCCCCTCTCGGAGGAGGAGAGGGGTACCCCTGCCGCCAGGCTCGGGGGCGGCAAAGAGGGGGGCGAGGACTACGGGGGGGGGGGCGGGGGGGGGGCATCGTGGCGGGGGCCATGAGATCTCCCCGGATCTCATGGCGCCTCTTCTTTTTTCAGTACATCCCTGGCCCCCCCTGGGCTGCGCACATGCCGCCGGCCATGATTGTGCCCCCCCCCCCCCTCCTGGACGCCCCCTTCTTGGCCGCCCCTGATCTCGGAGGAGGAGTGAAGTACCCATACCGCCATACCCCTGCCCCCGTTTTCTTTTTTGTTCGGCCTCCTGGGAGGCGCTCGTCGCCACCGCTGCAAATTCGCCTCGAGATTGGAGTGAGAACGCACCCCAGGAGAGGTCCAGGGAGGGGAGTAGCGGTATTGGCACCTGTGGGTTTCCCCGCCCTCGCGCGCCGCCATCGCGCCGCCGTCGCCGTCGTCGCAGAGAGAGGGAGAGAGAGAGAGAGAGAAAAAAAAAAAAAAAAAAAAAAAAAGTGAGAGAGAGAGAGAGAGAGAGAAAAGAGAGAGAGAGAGAGAGAAGTGCGGTCAGGATCTTTTGGTTCGCGTGTCGCTCCGCTGGCTCTGGCCCACCACGCCTCGGTTCGACACGCGGAGCCACTTCCTGGCCCCCTCTCGAGCGTCAACGTCAGGACCTCTTCCCGTCCTCCCGTCCCGTGGATCGGAGCGACGCGCTATCCTTTTTTGCAAGGCATAGCACGTCGCCGGAACCGCCGCCACGAAACGCCAGGCAAAGTTCCTGACCGTAGAGGGAGGGAACGAGAGAGAGAGAGAGAGAAAAAAAAAGAGAGAGAGAGAGAGGGTCAGGAAGCAAGAACACACACGGACACAAGTGAACGTCGATCTTCAGGAAAGTATGGAGACTCTGGGAGATGCAGGGGAAGACGAGACGAACATCTAGGACATATGATAAACTGTTGGACATCCTTGGGTTTGTGTCTATGTATGTATGTGTCTCTGGGCCCCTTTATGGCAGAGAGATAGGGTGAGAGAACCCCAAAAAGGGAAATATGAATGAGTAACAAAGGAAACAGTCCAGGGGCGCCAAAGACCCAGACCGCTTCGCGTCATGAAGTGCCAGTGACGAAATGGGCGTCTCTGTGTTCGGCCTCTGGGGGCCCTCCTCGGGCCCTGCGGGAGCGTCAGCGACGGCTCGGGGTACAAAGCGGGTCCCGGGGAAGGGGTCAGATCGACCTCTGGGGGGCCACGCCCTGAGAGATCACGGCAGAGGCCGTCTGGGGAGGCGGGGCCGTCCAAGTTGGGGGGAGGACGCGGTGCGTGTGCGTGTGTGTGTGTGTGTGTGTGTGTGTGTGTGTGTGTGTGTGTGTGGATCTTTTGGCCTGGGCCTCGCATGATGACTCTCAGGAGGGGAACAGACACACAGACACATTTAATCGTCGACTACCAGGAAGATATGGGAAAGTGTGGGAAGTGGGGGAAAGAGAAAAGCCAAGAAAATATGGGAAAATAGAGAGGATCCTGCTATCTGTGTCTGTTTACTTGTGTGTCCCAGGGCCCCATTCAGACTCTCCGGACTGCCTGGCCCCCTCCTCCCTGCCCGAACGTCCCCCCCCCCCCGCCGCCCTCTGGGCCGCGCGCGTGCTCCGGGCGCCACGAGCTGCGAGCCCCCTCCCCTCCTGGAGGCCTCCCCCGTGGGCGCCCCCGAGAGAGAGCAGGACACGGGCCTCCAACGGCCTCACGAGGCGGGAGGAGGAGGAGGAGGAGGAGGAGGAGGAGGAGGAGGAGGGAGGAGGAGGAGGAGGAGGAGGAGGAGGAGGTGGAGGAGGAGGAGGAGGAGGAGGAGGAAGGAGGAGGGGGAGGGGGAGGAGGAGGAGGAGGAGGAGGAGAGGAGGAGGAGGAGGAGGAGGAGGAGGAGGAGGAGGAGGGGAGGGGGACGGGGAGGGGAGGGGGACGGGGAGGGGAGGAGGGGGAGGAGGGGAGGAGGGGGAGGAGGAGGAGGAGGAGGAGGAGGAGGAGGAGGAGGAGGAGGAGGAGGAGGGTGAGGAGGAGGAGGAGGAGGAGGAGGAGGAGGCCTCCAACGGCCTCACAAGGCGGGGTGTTTTTTGGTTGTCCGCGGTGGTCGGCATCCGGAGGCCCCAACATCGGGCACCGAGGCCCCGTCGAGGGAGAGAGTCGGGGAGGAGAGCCGGCCCTGGGGAAGGTTGTCGGGATTTCTCTGGGAGCCTTTTTTTGGTTCGCAGAGGCACGGAGATGTGGACAGAGAGACAGGGACCGAGAGATAGAGAGCGAGAGAGGAAGGGAGGGAGGGAGGGAGGGAGAGAGAGAAAGAGAGAGAGAGGGAGAAAGAGAGAGCGAGGGAGGGAGGGGGAGTTAGAGAGAGAGAGAGAAAGAAAGAAAGATAAGACGATATTGAATGAGCGAGAAAGAGAGTGAGTGAGTGAGTGAGTGAGTGAGTGAGTGAGTGAGTGAGTGAGTGAGTGAGTGAGGAGGAGGAGCAGGAGGATGGAGGAGGAGGGAGGAGGAAGACGAGGGAGGAAGACGAGGACGAGGAGGAGGTGGAGGAGGAGGAAGAGGTGGATGAGGACGACGAGGATGATGACGACGAGGGGGATCGGGAAGAGAGGGACGAGGGACGAGAAGACGATCGGGAAGATGACGGGGGGACGACGACGACGACGACGACAACGACGACGACGATGACGACGGCGGAGGCGACGATGACGAATCCGACAACGACGACGACGACGACGAATGGGACGACGACGACGAGCACCATGAGGACGACGAGGGGGATCAGGAAGAGAGGGACGAGTGACGAGGAGGATGAAGACCATCGGGGAGAGGAATGGGGGGGACGACGAGGACGACGATGACGACGACGACGACGACGACGAGGACGACGACGACGACGACGACGACGACGACGACGACGACGACGACGACGACGACGACGACTACGATGACGACGACGAAAACGACGGCGGCGGCGGCGACGACTACGACGATAATGACGACGACGAGCACCATGAGGACGATGACTGGACGTGGAGGCCGGACGAGGCGGATGAGGAGTAGAAGGACAAGCAGGAGGCAGGGGAGGATAAAGGAGGGGAGGACGATTACGACGATATCCAAGAGCGATTGTGAGGATGACTTGCATCTCCGACGTTGCGATTCCTTTTCCACTGCGTCGACTTCCTGGAGGCTTCCCCTCGAACAGCTGTTGATCCTAAGTCTTCGTTTGAAGCCCCCAGGGCCTGGGCAGCGGCTTGAGGGGGCCGAAGACGTCAACAAGCACCGACAGTCGCGGTCTTCGTTTGCGTCACCCGGGTCCGGGCAGGGCGGGGCTACTGAGATGACCGCTGGGGTGGCTAAGGAGATCAGGGGGCTTGAAGGCGGCCTATTCTAGCGGGATTTACCCGGCCCAACCTAGCTTAGGAGCGGGTTGCATGTGCCCTAAGCGGATTGCGGGGGTTTGGCGGTCCGGGCTAGGTGGGTTCCACCCGCTCAGCGGAGTTATCTTACCCCCTTCGACCACAAGGGGCACCTGTAACCCACTTATAAGCTAGGTTTGGCCAGATAGCACCCATCTCAGCATCCACTTAAAAACCCCCTTCTTCCCTTCACACTTTTCGCGGGCATCTCAATATAGAATGGATGAATCGTTACAGAGCGTTCTGGAAGGCGCTCAGAGCATTCCGGAGCGCTCTGGAAAGGCCGCGACGCCCAATATTTCTTCCAGAGCCGCAGGTTCTCAGGGATCCCCGACGTCTTCTAGTCCGATTGCCGACACATTCTCCGATATGGGCTTGTCAATCCACGGCCCCAGAGCTTCCAACCCCTTCACTGGGGGTGGTTTACCTTTCTGAAATATATTGAATCGCTTCGCTCATTCCGCCGGCCCGTATTGTGCCATCGCGGGTTCTTGGGGGGTCTTGGGAGCCCTTGGAAGCTTCGTGGGAGCTTCTTGGGAACTTTGGGAGGCCTCGTGGATGGCTCTGGGTGGGCCCTCTTGGTGGTCTCTTGGGGGGGTCTGCCTGGCCTCTTGGGGGCCTCCTGGGAGCTTCCTGGGGGTCTCTTGGGGGCCTCTTGGGGCTTTCTTGCGGCCTGTTGGGGACCTCTTGGGGCTCTCTTGGGGGCTTCGTGGGGCTACTTGGGGGCTTGTCGGGGCATTTCGGCGGCGTATTTGGGCGGCAGGCTAAACATTTCCGTTCAGGTTGCACCTGTGGACCTCAATCATGGGGCCGTCTTGGGGCCTCTTGGACCGTCTTGAGGGTTTCTTGGGCCTTCTTGGAGCGCTCTTGGGCCGTCTTTGAGCGGTCTTGAGGGTCTCTCGGGCCGTGTTGGGGTGATCTTGGGGGCCTCTTGGACCGCCTTGAAAGGTGTGAAAGACGAAGAGGCGGATATGTTAAAAATGCACGTTTTACTAAGGGAATGAGACGATTTTTGCTTGTGGGAGCCCTCTTGGGACGCCGCTTAGGGACCTCTTGGGGCGTCTTGAAGGCCTGTTGGGCCGTCTTGAGGCCATCGTAGGCGCTTGGGGGTGATATGTCGGCGTCTCCCGGCTCTCTTGGACCGTCTGGAGGGCTTCTCGGGCCCCTCTTGGACCGATTTGGAGCCCTCCTGGGCTCCGAAAAAGAGTTCTTGAGGGTTTCTTGGGCCTTCTTGGAGCGCTCTTGGGCCGTCTTTGAGCGGTCTTGAGGGTCTCTCGGGCCGTCTTGGGGTGATCTTGGGGGCCTCTTGGACCGCCTTGAAAGGTGTGAAAGACGAAGAGGCGGATATGTTAAAAATGCACGTTTTCCTAAGGGAATGGACGATTTTTGCTTGTGGGAGCCCTCTTGGGACGCCGCTTAGGGACCTCTTGGGGCGTCTTGAAGGCCTGTTGGGCCGTCTTGAGGCCATCGTAGGCGTTTGGGAGTGATATGTCGGCGTCTCCCGGCTCTCTTGGACCGTCTGGAGGGCTTCTCGGGCCCCTCTTGGACCGATTTGGAGCCCTCCTGGGCTCCGAAAAAGAGTTCTTGAGGGTTTCTTGGGCCTTCTTGGAGCGCTCTTGGGCCGTCTTTGAGCGGTATTGAGGGTCTCTCGGGCCGTCTTGGGGTGATCTTGGGGGCCTCTTGGACCGCCTTGAAAGGTGTGAAAGACGAATAGGCGGATATGTAAAAAATGCACGTTTTCCTAAGGGAATGAGACGATTTTTGCTTGTGGGAGCCCTCTTGGGGCGCCGCTTAGGGACCTCTTGGGGCGTCTTGAAGGCCTGTTGGGCCGTCTTGAGTGATATTTCGGCGTCTCCCGGCTCTCTTGGACCGTCTGGAGGGCTTCTCGGGCCTCTCTTGGACCGTTTGGAGCCCTCCTGGGCTCCGAAAAGGGACCTTGCCGGGAGTCTGCCGGGAGTCTGCCGGGAGTCTGCCGGGACCTTGCCGGGAGTCTGCCGGGACCTTGCCGGGGTACTTTTCGTCCAGGGACCCCCAGGGCCCGCCCCGGGCGCGCGAGCTAGAAATATTGTTGAGCAGTTACCGGAGATCTTAGCACGCCTCTGGCCCGTTGGGCCGGCGAATTTGAAGGTCCCGGGGCCCAATAACAGGCCCAAGAGGCTGAGATTGAGGAAGAACTGCAGGTGAACAAAAATATATCGGTTCAGACCTGTGAATGTATGGCTTTCTTGCCATAGGTCGTGTCTTCGGCTGCTGGTCGATTCTGGCACCCCTGCAGCGCTCTCGGCGAGGCGCAGCTGCTGAAAAGCACACCGAGGCGAGACGACTTCCACGAAGCAGTCAAAAACTCTGCAAAGCTACAGGAAGCTTCCGAGGAGGAGGAAGAGGGAGAGGGAGGAAACGGAGAAGAGGGAGGAGGAGGAGGAGGAGGAGAAGGAGGAGGAGGAGGACGAGGAGGAGGAGGAGGATGAGGAGGAGGAGGAGGGAGAGGAAGGAGGAGGAGGAGAGAGGAGGAGGAGGAGGAGGAGGAGGAGGAGGAGGACTGTGTCGTCGGAAAGCTGGGGTGGCGTCGGGGGCCGCTGGTGCCTCAGCCGGGCCTTCCGCGGAGCCCACCGAGCCGGGCGCGGCCCCCCGCCTTCTTGGCCGTCAGCGTGGAGGTGGTGGCGGGCCTGGACGCCGCACGGCCTGGAGGCACGGCGCACGTGTGCGGCTGCGGCCGGGGTCGGCGACGTTAATCGAGGATCGAACCTCGAGGATCGAGGGTCGGCCCTCTCCTTCTCCTCCTCCTCCTCCTCCTCCTCCTCCTCCTCCTCCTCCTCCTCTTGCTCCTTCCGCTCCTCCGCCTCCTCCTCCTCCCCCTCTTCCTCCTCCTCCTCCTCCTCCTCCTCCTCCTCCTCTTCTTCATTCTTTGACTCCTCCCCCTTTCTTCTTCCCCCTCTCAACCCCTCTCTCCCGACGACAGCAGGCATCAGGGTTCAGTCCGATCCGCTTCCTTATCTAATGTCGCGGATGTTTCATAACGTCTTTGCTAGTGTCTGGAAGTCTTTTCGCCTGGGTGCGCTTTTCAGCAGCTGCGCCTTGCTGAGAACTCTGTGTTGGTACCAGAGTCGTACTGATCGGCAGCCGGAGGCACGAGTTACGGCAAGAAAGCCACTGCATGTCCAGATCTCCAGCGGCATGATGTTTTCGTTCCCGGCAATCTTCCTCGACTTCGGCCTGCGGGGCCCGTTACCTGGCCCTGGGGCCACCGTATGTATGGATCCGGACTGCATAACGGGGTCGGGAGATCTGGGGCCGCGGAGTGCAACACGCATCTGAGCATGTATTGCTTTGGGGGGCAACGAGGCCGCCTCCGCCGGCGGAAATCGGCGGAAGGCCCCGATAGAAGGCGGCGGAAGTAAAAGATGCGCCGCCCAAGAGATGACAGCGTTTTTGGGTTCAGGGTTTCCGGCCCCGCCATTTGAGACACAAGGTCGCCTGCCTCATCGTGGCCGCTGTCGGTTATGGGTTGTGGACCACATTTGCTGTTGGGCATCGTGCCACTGTGTCCGTACCCATTCTGGGTGTCCAGAGTTTGCTGGATTGGGGGCGTCAGCCAACACCTCGGGACGCTAAGAGTCGAAAACAGCAGTTTCCTCGAGCGCCCCACGTCCACGGGGGGAAAGTAGTGGCAGTCCGAACCCGGTCGGGAAACACGGTCGTCGGAGATCAGAAGCCTTGCCAACCTCTGCCAACGTCGCCATCCCGCAAAGCAGGCGTTGGAGTACCCTTTGGGAAGCAGTCTTAGGCGCGCACGTGCTCGCAGACTAGAGATGTAATCTTTTTTGGGATAAGCCAGCCAACTGCCTAGCCTAGCTACGAGTCGAAAAACAAACGACGACATAGACATAGAATGTCGGAGCTCCAGAAGCTCATGTTCCTGAACTTCGGTTTATGCCGTATGCCTTTCCTCTAAAGCTGGAGCTTGATTGCACGGCCTTTGCCTCCCCCCTCCTGGCGCGCCCCTCGATGCCCCCCCTCCGCGGCCTTTTCGAACAGCGCTGGAACGAGAAGGCGTGCAAGCGAGTCTCGATTTGAGTGGAGTCTAGATTTCCGTTCGGTCTTTGCCACGCCCCCCTCACCACTCAAGTAAACTGGCCATGGCCGAACAAAAAAAGCGGCCTCTAATCTGGCCCCTGGGAATTGGTCGAGATCCCCAGCGGCCTACGCGACATAAATGCGAAATCGGAGAAAGGGATTTTGGCGGCGACGGTGACGGCGACGACGACTTGGGCGTGGGCGTCGGCGGCGACGGGCGGCGGCGGCGACCAGCTGCCGACGTCGAATTTGTGGGCGATGGCGACGACCGGTAACGACGACGGCGAGGATGCCCAGGGACCAGAAGCGATGGCGACAATCTGCGAGGGTGGCGAGGAGGAAGATGGTCGAGGACGGGTGATAATCAAGTGGTGGAGGTTGAAGGGAGAACGAGGGGGAGTTGAATTCAAAGTAGGAGGAGGGGGGAAGTGGGGGGATTTGCGAGCGAGGAGGGGAGGTGGTTGAGAGAACGGCGATGGAGGAGGGCGCAGAGGAGGGTGGACGGATAAGGGGTTGAGGAGGAGCAGTGTGGAGGGGGAGCGGTACGGGGAGCAGCGGGGGGGAGCAGGATGGAGAGGGAGGGAGGAGGAAAAAGCCAGGGGCGTCAAAGAGGATGGTGAGGACTGTGTGTGCGTGTACGGTCACGAGACTTCAAGAGCGTGCCCCCGAGCACGCACGCGCAGACTTTCATGTCCTGCGTGTGGCTCCCTCGCCCCCCGGCCTCCGTTGCCGTCCCACGTGCTCTCTTCCCTGTGCCTCGCTGTGCTCCTGCTCGGCCGCCGTCTGACCCTCTTGACCCTCTTGCGGCCGCTGACCAAAAAAGTGTCTGCGTGCACGGTCCAGGGCTCGAGAATTTTGGCTCGGCGTGTCGCTCCGCTTCGGGCCCGCCACGCTTCGGAGCGGCACGCGATCCACGGCCCGGTCCCCGAGCGTCGGCGTTCCGAGTCTTTCTTGGCGTGACACTCTGATGATCCATTCGCAGGGCACGGCGTGACGCCGGGACCGCCGCTGCGACACGCCAAGCAAGAGGTCCCGACCGTATGTCATGGCCGAGGCCATGTTTGCTCCAAGGTTTCATGGCCCCCTCGTCTCCTTGAAGCACGGCCCCCGAGCCCGACCGCGCACGTGCCTCGGGCCGCATTGCGCGCCCAGGCCCCTCCTGCTGGCCCCCCTCTTCGGCGCACTTGGTGAAGAGCGGCAGGAGTCGAGGGGGACCTCGGCAGGAGGAGAGCAAGGGGAAGAGGGATGGATTATGGAGGGGGCAACAGGAGCCGGCGGAGGAGCGGGAGCACGAGGACGGGGGAGGAGGAGGAGGAGGAGGAGGAGGAGGAGGAGGAGGAGGAGGAGGAGGAGGAGGAGGAGGAGGAGGAGGAGGAGGAGGAAGGAGGAGGAGGAGGAGGAGGAGGAGGAGGAGGAGAAGGGAGGATAAGGAGGAGTAGGAGGAGGAGGAGAAGGAGGAGGGGGTGTAGGAGGATGAGGGGTAGGAGGAGGCGGGTAGGAGGAGGGGGTGTAGGAGGAGGGGGTGGTGGAGGAGGCGGCAGGAGCAGGAGCGGAAGGAGGCAGTAGGAGCAGGAGGAGTGCCAGGTGGACGTGGGATGGTCAGGAGCGGAGGGAGCCGAAGTCGGCGGCGTGCACACATGGGGGTCGCGCGAGGCGGGTGGCCCTTTGGAGAAAGCGGGGTGGGGGTCCTAGAAGGCAGGGCGGGCTAATGGGAACGGCCCTCGGACTGGCAGGACGGCGTCTTGCGAGCCGGGAGGGCTTCCGAGGCCCCACAGGCCTCCCCCCCCCGCGCAGTCTTACAAGGCCACCTCCCTCGCGCCACTGGCCTGTGGCGCTCAGCTCAGGACGGGATCTCGGCAGGAGGGGCAGGAGCAGGAGCAGGAGGAGTACGGTGGTGGAGGGCGGAGGAGCGGGAGACGGCTTGAGCCAGAAGGCTCCCCCATCTTCGTGTTTCTCTCTGTCCGGTGAGCCAAGGGGCACTGCTGCAGCACCGAAGTCCTCTTCAGGAGGGTCCACCCGTGAACTGTCCTTTTGGCTTGTGCCTCCGCCGTGCCTGTTTCTCCCCGTGCGCACACGTTCGAAGCTGCTCGGAAACGAAACGGAGCAGGAGGACCTTCACACTGATTCGTGACGTGTGGCCCAAGACCTCCCGGCCCCATCCCAGAGATTGTCCTTCTATTTGGATGTGTGTTCGGCGTTCCGGGGGGTTCGGAGAGGGACCCCAGAGCCCCAGAAGCAATTGCAGTCTTGATTGTATTCGTCACGCCAGGTTGCCAGTTTGTCGTTCTCGCGACGCTGGTTCGCGACGCCAGCAGTTTTGGCTTTTACGCCGATCGCAGCGTCGAGTGGGTCAATTGCCGTTGGTTGCCCCCCCATCCGTTCATTTCCTCTCTCCTTCCCGCGTGAGCGCGGGAAACTATTATAATCGAGCATTTCGAGCCCGAGACCATAAGGTTATGTAATCACTGCTTTGGCTTGGATGTCCCGCGGTGCCCAACATATATCCACACCTGCGGTCCCCTGGGGTCCTAGGACATCGTCGCCCCAGGCAGGGTATGAGTGTGGCTTCTGGGGCCACAAGTCGAGGACCGAGGAGGAAGAGTATGGATCCCCGCTTTGAGGTCCCAGAGGTGGCTGCAGGATTCTTCGTTCCCTTCGGCTTCTGCCGATCCCCTCCAGCAGCATCACAGCTTGCCGGGAAGCCCCGTGGCGACGTAAGCTGCACCTTGCCGTTGTCCTGTCTTGCTTTTACTTTCCGTGGTTCCTTTTGCTTCGGAGTCAGTCTTTCGGCAGTGCTAGCAGCCGCAGGATCGGAGATCGGCGGGGTTAGGTCAAAGCGAAACGGAGACCCCATCGGAAATCGGTTTAGGATTCGTGTTCGTGGCGTGCGTGCGAGCGAGGCGAAGCTGCGCGCGCGCGGGCGAGAGAAGTGATCCCGCCGTTGATGGGAAAAGTCAAATCAACATATTCGTCTCCCTTCCGGTTTGTGGATTTGGGGGCCGGGTTATTCTGCGGTTGTCCCGTGATTGTTCCGCGATTGTCCAGATGTTTGCCCCTATGGTTTTCCCGATGGTTGTCCCGCTGGTTGTCCCGATAGTTGTTGTCCCGTAGTTGTCGCACAGTTTTCCCGATGGTTGTCCCGATGGTTGGCCGATGGGTGCCCTGATGGTTGTCTATGAGTAGGTAGGTAGGGAGGCCGACCTTTATTCATATATACTGACAAGTTCAGTTTAAGGCGTAGTAATATCAACAGATAGTGATATCGAGACCGGTAGAAGGTGTTCCTATGGTTGTCTTGATTGTTGTCCCGATGGTTGTCCCGATGGTTGCTCAATATCAGATTGATTGATTGATTGACAAATTGATCGTGGGATCGGTATATTGATGGAGAGGCCGATATGTGGGTAGAGCGACTGGTAAGTCGATGGTAGGGTCGGTACTGAGACCGGTAGTGATATTAACCAGTGGCTATTGAAGTTGGTATGCAGATATATCGTGACACCGAATCATTCATAGGTTGATTTACATCGATCGTAAAATCGACGGAGGCAGATCTTCGATGGATGGAGACGTTTGAACCCGCCGTTGGCTCCACCGACCCCTCCAACCTCATTGTCTGGTCCTACGAGGAGGAGGAGGCGGAGGAGGAGGAGGAGGCGGAAGGAGGAGGGAGGAAGAGGAGGAGGAGGAGGAGGAGGAGGAGGAGGAGGAGGAGGAGGAGGAGGAGGAGGTGGATCGGGCCCCCCTTGGCCCAGGGGCCGCGGGCGTCGCCGCGGGCGACGGGCCGGAGGAGCACCATCCCGGGTGCGCGCGGCGCCGGCCCAAGGAAGTCCCTGCGCTCCCTCTGGAGATGGCCGCCGTTGTCTCGATTGCCCCCCCTCCTAGCCCTTAGATTCAAGGCGGCATGAGTGGTAAACAATAGTCAGATAACTATTTGATGATTTTCGACCAATGATTGTTGCTCCTTCCGGACTATTTTTGATGATTTGTCGGTCGACCAATGTTAGTTCTCCTTCCAAATCCGCCTGCAGGACCGTAGGAGGAGATTCCCGACCTGGCCCTAGATGCATGCAAGTCGATTGTCTTGCACAGCTGTGCCCTCGAGCTCGGACTTCCTTCTTTCCAGCTGGTCCTGGGTGGTGGCCCTGGCCTCTGGCCACCCAGGCCTCCCCTTGCCCCCCCCTCCCCCAAAGGCCTCGGATTGTTCTGTTGTCGTCGTCGTCGTGTCGTCGTATCCTCGTGGCCTCCCCTGACCCTCCTGCCCTGGCCTCCCGGGTAACCCTGGCTGCAGGCCTCGCTGGCCTCCCCCGGGCCTCCCTGCCCTCCCCCCCCCCCAGACCATGCCCTCCTCCCCCCGCGTCCCCTGGCTCCCGCCCTCCCTCGTGCAAGAGCCGGGGCGTGCGTGCCACGTGTTGGCATGGCGTTCCCCCCCCGCCTCCCTCCCCCCCCCCTGCCGCAGCCTTTTCACTCAGTGCTGGTCCGCAAAGGCGTGCGACCGAGTCTCGACTCGCGTGAAGTCCAGATTTCCTTGCGGGCCTCGCCGCGCCCCCCACCCCCCTCCCCCTGCATGCGAGGGCACCCGCCGAAGTCTGAAGAAGAACATTATCTTTTCGTCTCGGTTCGCTCGAGGTGGTGCCGCAGCCCTGCACGCCAAGCCAGGTGCCCACTGCGTCCGGCTTGTCGCGGCGCTCGACTCCTGCCAGCTCTGGACTCACACTGCGGATCGGTGCGCCATCACGGCTCTGCCACGGCCTAATATCGGTCCCCCTCCCCCTCCTCCTCCGCCTCCTCCTTCTTCTTCTTCTTCTTCTTCTTCTTCTTCTTCTTCTTCTTCTTCTTCTTCTTCCTCCTCTCCCCTCCTCCGCCTCCTTTTGCTCCTGCTTCTCCTCCTCCTCCTCCTCCTCCTCTTCCTCCTCCATCTGTTCCTTCTCCTCTTTGTCCTCCTCCTTCTTATCTTTCTCCTCCTCCTCATCCTCCCCTGGCCCGAGCGGCCCCACTGCGTTGAGACAGCTCGAGGCTCGGATCCTGCAGGCGGGGCGCCCGACCCCGGCGTTGCCGCGGGGCCTCGTTCCACGTGCACGAGTGGCCCGTTGCGGGGGTGGCCTGCGCTGCGAGCCAGCGGGGGCCCAGATCCTCTTCCTCCTCCTCCTCCTCCTCCTCCTCCTCCTCCTCCTCCTCCTCCTCCTCCTCCTCCTCCTCCTCCTTCTCCCCCCATCACGTCGTGAATGGGTCGCGGCAGAAGGGTTTTGCTAGTTTTGGCCTCTGGGGGCCCTCGCCAGGCCCCGGACCGTCAGAAGACGACCCAAGATGGAGATCCAGCCGGTCATGGGGAAGGGGTGGAGAGACCTCCAGGGGTCTGCGTTGCCAAAAGATCACGGCGTCGGGGTGCTGGGGAGTTCCCCCAGCACTGGCCTGCGCGATTGGATTTTGCCCACCCGTGGGCAGGAAGTACGTCGGGATCCACGGCATCGCAGGCTGGGCCCCTGGGCCGCGACTCCGTGGACACGGGGCGTTCTTGTCGCGGATGCCCCGTGCTGATGCCACCGCGCATCCGCGGGGCCGCGCCCCGGAGTCCAGGCCGCTAGGCCGTGACTATGGATGTGCTCGCCGCTCGCAGCCCACCACGCGGCCACTGAAGGCCGCGGGCCAAAGGCCACTCCCTGCCCAGGGCCACTCGTTGCGCGCCTGCCGCGAAGCTGGCCTTTTGCCGGGGTCCGCCGCGGCCATGGCGTCCGTCGTGCGGGCGGTGCGGAAGCCCGAGGGCGCCCGTCGGGACTCCGACGTGCTGCGCATCCAGGCTCCCCCCACTGCATCCATTGTTTGGGTCGCAGGGCAAGGCCCTTCTCTCAGGGGCAACGCTAGGGGGGGGACAGGCATATGGGGGGTGACGCATCGACCCCCAAATCGCCCATTCATCGCCGATAGGGGCCCAACAGCCCCAGCGCGCCCAGGAGCGTGCGGATTTGATATCGGGGGCCTATCGCCGATCTATCGGCAATGTATCGCCGATTCCCCGCCGGCGTTTCCCCCCTAATCGTTGCCCCTCATCTTCCTCCCCGCGGCTTACCTGGTGACGTCATTCTGTCTCATGGTGTTGCCCTCGATGTCTTGCTCTCGACTTTGAACTCCCCACGAATCAGCCCAAGGGTCTGCGAAGCAGGCCAGGGATGTGGCGCTCTGTCACCGTCGAGCTGCTGCCAGGAGATCCCGCGCCGTTCGTCGTCTCACGTCGGCGTACAGCTCGGCGGGGGCTCGATGATGTTTTTTCATCTTGAATGCGCCCTGGCGTTATTTGGTTGTTGTTACCGTTCTTAGCTGGGCGTGTTCAACATATTTTGTTGAGCGTTTTCAGGTCCCATCTGCAAGTCTTAAATCCAAACAGACTTGTTTTGGTTCGTGTGTTCAGATCTGATTTCTAGCGTCATCCAGCCCGAGACATTCTCATCGACCATGCGGATGGCTCGGGGGAGAAGACGAACTTGGCCGCCTCAGGGGTGCCCGGCAGCTGCGCCGATACATGCGGTTCCTGTACATGCTCGTATCGAGGCTTCCTTCCTCGCTCTTGGCAGGTCGCTGGTTCTACGGGTTTTTGGGGCGATGGTTGATCGTTTGCTTCGCGGTGCCCCCTCAGTTTTGCTCCTCTTCGTCTGGGTACATCACGCTGAAACAACATGTGTATAAGTCGCTGCGCTGGCGGACGCTGAGCGCGGTCGGGGCGGAATGCCGGGTACGGTGGGGGCATTCGGTCAGGAATATGCGCAGGATGTTTCAGATCCTGGGGGGTCCCGTATCTGATGATTCCCATCCATGGCCAAGCCTCAATGGGTGTTCCACTGGATTTCAGACCCTGTTTCCTCATGCAACGGTTCTTTCTTCAACGGCCTCACCGTAATGGAATCGCGAATGGTGCGCTGAGCGGGGATGCGGCGAGGCGGACGGCCGCGGAGCAGGGCGAATGGCGGACCCGCGCGCTCAGAGCGCGCAGACCTTCGCGGCAACCACCCGCGGTCTCGCCTGCCTCCCCCCTCGCGGAATCAAACAAATCACAAGCAGGATCTCCCTGGGATTACCAGCCCTGCCCCGACGACGCCACGCCGAGCGGCGGATCCCCCCCTTCGGCTCGGTCACTGTAGGGCAGTTTCGTAGGTTCCCCGAGGCTTTCCTGCCTCGGGATGCTTCCCAGCAGTTGCGCCTCGCCGAGGGCGTCCTGCGGGTGCCGGGGTCGTCTCGAACGGCCGCCGCAGCCCCGAGGTACGACTCGCAAGCAGGGCCATTGTCGATCTGGCCGACACGATGTGGCGCTCATTTTTCGGCCAGCCCGCCTCGATTCGATCCCGATCTTCCGACGATCCGATGCGACCCGATGATTGCATGGTGCTATTGTGCATCATGGGCCGGTTAAGTGAACAGCGCAAGAAAACGGAGTCGTTTTCGCTGACGTTGGCGCGTAAGCTGCCCGCGTAAGGTCGTGCGTAAGCGCCCTCGTCTCCATTATGGCGTGCCGCGCTGGCGGCCCGCATCAATCACCGCGTAAGGTCGCCATGCCATCTCGCGCGAGACCCGTTTTGGATCGTCGCTCAAGTGGTTTTCGTTGGAAGCTCTTTTTCCCATGCCGAATGCACTTCTCTGCACTACTGTAGAGGCTACGAAAGGTCGCTGGAGGCCACTGCAGGTTGCTAGAGGCCACTGAAGGCTGCTAACAGGCGGCTGAAGGTTACGAAAAGCCGCTGATAATACATTGAAGACCGCTGGAGGCCACTCAAATACTCCAAAAATTCTCACTTATGAGCGGCCGATGCGATTTGATGATGGTTCCGTGCCGATGTAGCCCAATGTGATGCATGTCCCGGCACGATGTGGTTTCGCGATTCGATGTTGGCCGCTCCTGTGCGTTCATGCGGAAGGATCGGGTCGGTCACTTATTTTGGTAGCAACTCAGGGGAGCTTTGCATGTCTTCGAAACCCCGCCTCTCGAGCCAGCAAGATGGCATGGAGGCGCCCTAGGAGTTGCCACTCGTACTTCTCTAGTTCTGGGTCTCGGGGTGCGTCCCGCGCACCGGGGGCAGCCGAGAAACGCTGTCTGGGATGAAGGGACGGACGGCCCCCGAGCAACGGTGTCCCCGGGGGCGGCCCGCGTCACGGGCAGCCTTTGCGACGCCCGGGGCCCAGGCCGGTCGCATGCTCACCTTCGACGAGCTGGTGCAGCAGGGCGACATATCCGAGCGTCGCACTCTCAGGAAGGTGATCAAGGTCGGCATCGCCAAGACCCAGGGCCTCTTGCAGCTGCCGCTGTCGCTGGCCGTCTTCTGTGCCTTCGCTGCCTCTGGGTTCTTCCACGAGGACGTCACCAACGAGTTCTTCGTTGAGTCCCGGCTGCGGCTGCGAGTGGATCACATTTTTGGAGGTGTCGCGACAATCGAGGACTGGTGGTCTGCAGTGCTGGGCCCCGGCGAGGAATCGCTCGTCGGCTTCCTGTTCAAGCAGACGGACGCCTACGGGGGGCAGCTCAGCACGTCCAGTGAGGACGACCCTCTCTTCGGCGACTGGGCGCGTGTCGATTCCTTCAACCAGCTGCAGGCGGGAGTCCGGTTCGAGACCACGCGGACCCGCGAGGGCAGCTACAGGACGACGCCCTACGCGTGCGCCAGCGAGCTCGAGTGCTCCATCTGCCGGGACACGCAGGAGAACGGGTGCCCTGGGGGCCCTGAGACGGGCGCGAATGCAAGCGGGGGTCAGCCAGAGCGCCCGATCTTGCAGGATCCTCCCAGGCTTGGGCGCAGGATCCTGCAGGATCTGGCAGGATCCTTCGCATTGACCCTGGCTTGG